ACCTGACGTTGCCGGCTGTGATCTCAGCCATGGCCGGTAGCGAAAGGTCCTGGGATGCCGTCCTGTCCTTCTGCGAGGTGGTGATGTCGCAGAAGGAGGCGGCGGAGAGGGCGAGAGAGGCCAACGCCGAGCTCGCCATCCGCCGCAGAAGGACCGGGCGCCGGAGAGCGGTGTACGATCGCCGCCTCCCCCCTTAACACCAGCCAGAGGGTGGTCGGCTTGGGGAAGTCGGCCGCCCACTAATCTGGCCCGAGTAGGCGTGCGCGGAGACGTCCGCGCGCCACTCGAAGAAGGCCATCGGGGGTTAGCCCCCTGATACGGTACGGGCCGTAAGAGGCTCTCGCCGCTGGGGTCTACAGAGGAATACGGATACCTGTGACCCCAGCTTTGTGGCGACAAGGTGGCCTTTCGTCGTTTTAGTGGGTAGGCTGCCGCGCGTTTTCCATCTTTGCGCGGCAGGAGCCCCACATAACCCGTTCCGCCTATCCCCAGGCGGACGGGTACCCGGGAACAGGGTTTTCCTGACGTTAAAAAAAAAAAAAAAAAAAAAAAAAAAAATACTAAGAAAGCTAAAGTATAAGTATAAAATAAATATAATCAATAGTAGCCACACCGTTATATACGTCTAGCCTGACTAAAAATGTATAAACAAAACTAGAATGTAAGATAAAAATTTTAACTAGCATAGCATAAAACTAATATATAGGTACCATAATATAGAACTCTAAATGTAAATAAATTGTTAATAATAAGAAACATTGTCAAAAACTTAGCATAAATTAAAGTTAAATTGTAAACTGAAATTAATAAATTATAAAAAGTATCTAAACAGCAACAAAATTGTAAAACAAAAATAGAAATAACTTTGTAAAAAACAATAGTACCATCTAATAGAAATAAGAAATAGTGTAAAATAAAATGTAAACAACCTAAAACTTCCTTGGTCTAAAAACAATGTAAAAAATTCCATAATTGTAAAAAAGGTTTCTGAGCACCATGTCAGAAGACAGTTGGCTTCAATAAAAAAAAAAAATAACTCATTGGATTATTTTTCGGCAAACCTAACCCAAACCAAAAAAAAACAATATATATATATATAATAGATCGTCGTTGTAAAAATTGATATACATGAAGTAATAATATCTAATAACTCATTGGAATATTTTTCGCCAAACATAACCCAAACCAAAAAAAAAAACAATATATATATAATCGATTGTCGTTGTGTAAATTGATATACATGAAGTAATAATATCTAATAACTCATTGGAATATTTTTCGCCAAACCTAACCCAAACCAAAAAAAATATATATATTTATAATCGATCGTCGTTGTCTAAATTGATTTTCATGAAGTAATAATATCTTATAACTCATTGGAATATTTTTCGCCAAACCTAACCCAAACCAAAAAAAAAACAATATATATATAATCGATCGTCGTTGTGTAAATTGATATACATGAAGTAATAATATCTAATAACTCATTGGAATATTTTTCGCCAAACCTAACCCAAACCAAGAAAAAAACAATATATATATAATCGATCGTCGTTGTGTAAATTGATATACATGAAGTAATAATATCTAATAACTCATTGGAATATTTTTCGCCAAACCTTTTTTTTTTTTTTTTAAGTCGGGAAATGCATTTACGCATACCACCTGATCCCCCAGGTGGTGATGTGGGGCTCACCGGCTAGAAGAGCCGGTACTACCCACTAAAACCCGACATTCCCCTCCCTTCCGCCTTAATGGGGCGCCGCAGGATCGCTTGCGCATAACTACTACGGCGCCCCGGCGGCAGGTCTGCCTAAACGCTAGGCCGACCACCACACCAATGGGGCTGCTCCACAGTCAACTCTGCTACGCCAGAGAGGTACCCGGAGCAGCCCCATTAAACATAACCACCACCCACCGAAGTGGGCCACCTCCAATCGGCTGCAGAGGACAGGGAGAGCGGCAACGAAACACCGACACTCCTCTTCCCCTGCAGCCCCACCGCGTCCGCCATCAAACGGTGGCGGCCCCGTCTAGGCCGCGGAAGGTAGGGAGAACGGCGCACCGAAATACCGGCACTCCTCTCCCGCCGCGGCCTACCCCTCCGCCGGATGCGGGCCAGCGACCACAGTCCCGCAACCGGCACCCATCATCCGGTTGTGGGACCAAGCGGTCCCAACACCGGTGGCCGCAACGTCTTCGGCTCGAGTCCTAGACGAGCGGCCCCACCCAAGCCATTTGGTCCGCGCCGGATTTCTCCGGTACCACCCGCCGCCCTAAGCGGGTGGCATTCCCCTATCCGCCACCTGGGGACGCGCCCGGTAGGAGTTGGCTTCTCCCCCGGGATTTTTCGCCAAACCTAACCCAAACCAAAAAAAAAACAATATATATATAATCGATCGTCGTTGTGTAAATTGATATACATGAAGTAATAAAATCTTATAACTCATTGGAATATTTTTCGCCAAACCTAACCCAAACCAAAAAAACAAACAATATATATATAATCGATCGTCGTTGTGTAAATTGATATACATGAAGTAATAATATCTAATAACTCATTGGAATATTTTTCGCCAAACCTAACCCAAACCAAAAAAACAAACAATATATATATAATCGATCGTCGTTGTGTAAATTGATATACATGAAGTAATAATATCTAATAACTCATCGGAATATTTTTCGCCAAACCTAACCCAAACCAAAAAAAAAAACAATATATATATATATATAATCGATCGTCGTTGTGTAAATTGATATACATGAAGTAATAATATCTAATAACTTATTGGAATATTTTTCGCCAAACCTAACCCAAACCAAAAAAAAAAAAACAATATATATAATCGATCGTTGTTGTGTAAATTGATATACATGAAGTAATAATATCTATTAACTCATTGGAATATTTTTCGCCAAACCTAACCCAAACCAAAAAAAAAAAACAATATATATATATAATCGATCGTCGTTGTGTAAATTGATATACATGAAGTAATAATATCTAATAACTCATTGGAATATTTTTCGCCAAACCTAACCCAAACCAAAAAAACAAACAATATATATATAATCGATCGTCGTTGTGTAAATTGGTATTCATGAAGTAATAATATCTAATAACTCATTGGAATATTTTTCGCCAAACCTAACCCAAACCAAAAAAAAAACAATATATATATAATCGATCGTCGTTGTGTAAATTGATATACATGAAGTAATAATATCTAATAACTCATTGGAATATTTTTCGCCAAACCTAACCCAAACCAAAAAAAAAAACAATATATATATAATCGATCGTCGTTGTGTAAATTGATATACATGAAGTAATAATATCTAATAACTCATTGGAATATTTTTCGCCAAACCTAACCCAAACCAAAAAAAAAAAACAATATATATATAATCGATCGTCGTTGTGTAAATTGATATACATGAAGTAATAATATCTAATAACTCATCGGAATATTTTTCGCCACACCTAACCCAAACCAAAAAAAAAACAATATATATATAATCGATCGTCGTTGTGTAAATTGATATACATGAAGTAATAATATCTAATAACTCATTGGAATATTTTTCGCCAAACCTAACCCAAACCAAAAAACAAAAAAACAACATATATATTTAATCGATCGTCGTTGTGTAAATTGATATTCATGAAGTAATAATATCTAATAACTCATTGGAATATTTTTCGCCAAACCTAACCCAAACCAAAATAAAACAATATATATATATAATCGATCGTCGTTGTGTAAATTGATATACATGAAGTAATAATATCTAATAACTCATTGGAATATTTTTCGCCAAACCTAACCCAAACCAAAAAAACAAACAATATATATATAATCGATCGTCGTTGTGTAAATTGATATACATGAAGTAATAATATCTAATAACTCATTGGAATATTTTTCGCCAAACCTAACCCAAACCAAAAAAAAAACAATATATCTTATATATTTAAACGAGCTATTCTTGTATATATATATATATATATATATCAATATATAATCTGAATCTCGGAAACGGCTCCAACGATTTTCATGAAATTTAGCACACAGGCGGTTTCGGGGACGATAAATCGATCTAGATTAGTCTTATATCTGGAAAAACGCGAATTTTCGAATTTTCATGCGATTTTCTATTGCATTTTCACAATTTTTGCATTGTCACTTCTGGTGAGTGGGCGGCGCCACTGTGCAACTGTCAACATCGTGTCCGTATTTACATCAAGTTTAAATATATTTAAGTGAAAATAATCTAAAGAAAAATTAAATCTAATCTAAGTAAA